GAGAGAGAGAGAGAGGGAGGGAGAGAGGGAGAGGGGAAGAAGAACCAGACATCTTCAGAATGGGTCAACATAGATCTTGCTTTACTGTAACATGGAGAATGAGACCTTAAATAGACGCAAACTTTTAGCTACCGGTATTAAATTAGTTTTTTTTAATCCAAAAAGAGGAAGACAGAAAGATGCATCCCGTCAGATCACAGTGAAATTCGCATGTATAAGAAAGTTGTCGAGCCTCGCCTTCGAGTCAGTGGGATTCGAGTGTTTGGTGAAAGAAACGTTTGACTAACGTGAGCATTTTTTATGGTGATGATGGTAGGTTGGGCCACCTGTTTGGTAATGAAGTATCACGTTATCACGTTGCAAGCATAATGGGAAATAATCTATGAAACCTCAAATTGTTTGCTAAGAATACACAAGGTTGTTTCCCTTGGAACAGCCCCTGACCTATAATATAGACCAGGCTTGCGCAAGAATTCACTTGGGTTTTTTTTCAGTGAAACACACCAGACCTTAAAACTGCTTTATGAACATCTTCAAGTACTGGTATTTGTTGTTTCATCAGTTCACTCGTTTCATGGTCCACAGCTGCTCTTATCATACATCATGTATCCTGATCATTTTTTTTTTAAGTTGAGAAGAGAGAGTTTGGTGTAATGCTCTGTCCACCTCAAAATCTGCTCTATTTTTGGGGGGGTTTTTTGACTTCCTAAAAGAGCAATTTCATTCCAAACAAGAGTCATTTTTATGTCTCTGCTGCCAACTGTCATGTCAAACGGACTAGGGCTGGACTTATGTTGAAAAATGACCTACCATAGTGCTACAGGAAACATAGACTACACTTATATTCACCATATATATATATATATAATTCTTATATTATATCTGTATATATGTAAAAGCATATTTTGCTCAAATGGACATCTATGGTGAAATATGATGGATAGTTTTGCCTCCATTCAAGTCATACACATTCTAGGGTCTACTGCGAGGGCCACTTTTGACTATACACCTACTGGTTATTTAGTTCCACAGATCTGCACCCAACTCACTACATGTACATTTATTGTCCATTCAGTGTCCTGGCAACATTTCTATGATTGCAACTCTGCTGACAATCCACATCCTTCCCATGCAATTCCCCTCCCTTCCTCTAAACACACACACACACACAATCTCTACCACACAAACACAAAATGTGTGCTGAGCTCTCCAATATTTTGAGTGTGTTTCCCATTCGTTCTGTTAATGTAGGATGAAGGTGTTCTTTTGCCCCCATTGACACAATTTAGGACACTTAAGAGGCCGGGTTCAACCCTGCTCATCAGCGCCAACCTGAGCTGAGAGGGCTATGACATCCCAGCAAAAAGACAGATACACGATAAAACTTCTCCATACATGGAAACCGAATACCGGTCCTCTGCATGCAACAGCAAAGCGCCTTGCTACACCACAGAATGTGTGTCTCAAACATGTTCTTTGGTCGCATAAACATAAAGAGGCTGTGCGTCTCTGATACTAGTAGTAGGTCAATCATAGTGCACAGTGTACGAATAGGCAAAAAGTGTATATAAGTATTATATAATTACAGTGGAACTCGGATTCAACGAGAACTCGGATTCAACGAGATGAGACAGATTCCCCGGTTTTTTTCTTCTTTAAAATCAATAAAAATAACCCGGATTCAATGAGCACTTAAATCAGCGAGCTCGAATTCAACGAGGTCGCTTCCAGGGTGAACAACCCCTGCAGATATGGCTTCGCTCATTTTTCTCCGACAACAAATTTTATCTATTCCCGGAAACCATCCATTGCAACTGCATCTTGAACCATTATTCACTTAGCCGATTGCATGCGACCAATCAGCGGCCTTTTTTCATACCAACACATGCGTTGTTGGCTCGCGCACATGTCTGCTCTGGTGTGTGTCGGGGTCGGATGGGCGGCCTGCACTCATGTGGCTGTGTGTGCGTGTCGGGGAGGGGGGGGGGTGCGCACTAGCGGTCCGGGCGTTGAACGTCGCAGATACAAACGCGTCAAAGTCTTTTTTTCCCCTCAGCAATTCATCATTATTACAATGATAAGCGATATAGTCTTGACGTAGATCTTTGTAATGAATTGTGCGCTTGTCTATGAAATCAAAAGTTGTCTTATATGCTAGGCTCTACACAGCAACACAACTTTGTGGTAAACTATCGAGATGACACAGGAGTGCATTTGAACGAATCGGTGGGTTTTTTTTGCACAGCTCATAATAATTATGCAAGCATTTCAGGCACTACTTGTGACTTCTATTTATACATTACTTATTCAGTGCCTGTAATTGTTTACACAAAACCTCGTGTTTGCTATAACAAACACTCGGGTTCAACGAGATTTTAGGTCAGGCCCGGCGACCTCATTGAATCCGAGTTCCACTGTATTATTATATGGTGTAGGGCGATTGCTGTTCTGTGGAATAGAGCAGATAATATTTGTTTGTTGGGGAGAAAATTGATCAAAGTCAAATCAGCAGGGGCTGTTTGTTCTGCGGGCAACATCGTTGAGTCCCGAGTTTACTCATTGGGCGGGCAGTGAAAATGAGGTGTTTTACTGATTTAAATAAAGACCAAAAAAAAAAAAGGGAAATTCTACTCCTTTCATTGGGTCCTAGTTTGTTCAATACAAGTTTCACTGTTATACAAGGAATTCAGTACTAAAACGCATTATCTGTATACCATTTACAAGGTAACATAATAATATAGTTTTTTCAATGGATATATAATATTACAATGTGGACCAAGGATTACACAAGAAGGTCAATATCAATCATACCTTCCATTCCTCTGGTCTTCTGTGGATCCCATTTTCTCTAATGTCCAAATATGAAAGAAAAGACAAGGCCAGAATGGTATCCTCAGGAAGACTGTTTATGCTGTTTCTCCTTATGAATAATGAAACCAGACTAGGAAGTTCCTGCAGCTCTATTGGAACTGAACTAAAGCGATTGTCATTCAGATTTAAGTATACTAACTCTGAGAGCCGACCTATATTCGATGGCAGTTCTTTCATGTGGTTATTGTTTAAACCCAGCCACATCAAGCACTGTAATTCACACAGTTCTTCTGGAATGGCACTGATTTCATTATGTCCTAGCCCTAGGGTTTTGAGCCGTCTCAAATTTCCTAGGCTAGAAGGGATCGAGACCAGCTGACATTCAACCAGCCACAGACAGCGTAAGGATACCAGCTGACCCAGGTCCTCAGGTAAAGCCACAAATGGATTGTGTGATGCTGACAGAACACGAAGACGTGATAATGAGCTGATACCTGGAATGAAAAAAACATTTAAAATAAGAACATCTTATCTTATATATATATTCAAAACCAAAATAATGTATTCCCTTTTTAAAGAAAGAAAATTGTAACAAATTTAAAATGCTAAAAACATCTCTATTACCAAGTTAATGGCTTCCTTGCCTCTTCCTCACTAGTAATAACATGTTGGGAACTCATCCATGCTGCATGTGTGAAAGTGGTTAACCTTATTTCTGACGATGCATTTTCCCACTTTTCTCAGGTAATCATGATAAAATAAGTACAGTTAAACCTTGCTGTATTGCTCCCCCCCCCCCCCTATCCCGGTATACTGCCAGCTCCGCTTATCGCCAGGTTTTGCCAATGTAAGAAAAGGAACGTCTTTAGTATTAGCACCTTCACACCGCAAACTGTCTGAGTTGTACAGTCCTTATTTAACTAATGTAAATTTGCTCCTCCACACCAACAGCCAACTGACCGCCAGAGGTACACACTGCATACGGGCACAACACCCACTGCGGTTCACTCCTAGATAATCTTTCTCTCACGAGAAAAACATAGAGATAATGCAGGGAAAGAAGACTCTCAGGTCTGAATACATGTGCATGTACATGTATTCACTAACAAAAAGACACTTTTCAAGTACAGATTGCACAGCAGAATCATGTTCCTTGATGTTGGGCAGTCATGGCTTTACATCAGAGGAATCCCATTGATCCGCCAGCCCCGGTATTAAACCTGCTTCATGCTCGTTCCAAGGGTGGCAGTATAACGAGGTTTGACTGTATACATGATGTAAAAGTCAAGTAAAAGGCCCAGTTACTAACATTTAAACATATAATCGAGCATGGATAACTCAAATACGTGTTTTGAGGTGAAAGCCTGACAACCCCAACTACAAACTCACCGGCCAAACAGACAGTACATTTGTGTTAAATTACTAGAAGACCTCCAGAAGTTAATCTAATTATTTAAAAGCTTTCACCACAGAATCTGCACACAGCGACACTATTTCTGGAGTTTGGAAATAACAGACCATAAGATCAGCCTGAACAGTCCAGCTGTGATTATGGTGAGTTGGAAAATAAGCCCTGTGTCAGAAATAGGGTTAATAAGGAACACCTTATAACTTTATTCTAAAATTCACATAATTTAAGTTGATTATTGAAAGAACAATTGAGAATGTCATCTAAAAAGTTTTCTGGCATATTTGGCTTGCTTTCCTACTTTTAAGCACAAATTCAAAACCACAACTGAACATGGATTGACGACTACCGGCAACATCTAAGGAGACTGAGACACATAAAAAGTGAATACAGAGAAATCCTGTTATAACGAGAGGGAGGGGACCGTTATCGCAGGATTCTCGTTGTAAGGGATCCAGTAATAAATTCAAAGGAAATAATAAAGTAGGCCTAATCTATGAGTTTGGTGTTCTGTTTTTTTCTTTTTGTTATCTCCTCTGATGATGGCTTTGTTCAACATGACCTCTAGGTCTTACTTGATCAAAAATTGAATCAGGTTTCTTTCTCTAGCGTTAGCGATGTTGACAGCTCGGCGTTGACTATCAGAACGAAAGTTCTCTAGGCTAACTCTCCCGCTGTGTTTTCCCCCACCACACCCTGTGGAGGGTTCCCGCGTCTGCTTGCACACGTCACACATTCGCTTCATGATCCATCACAGCACTGTGACCTCTCCATCCCCGCATCGGAGAAGTGAGAGGCATGATAGGCCTAGATAATCTAGACTAGGCTGGCCTATCACTATCAGGCAAAGCGTTCTGCTTCACAACGGCCTGTCTGCGCGTGCCACACCCTCCCTACTCATTCGCTCCAGCCTTCATTGTCAGCACACATGGGCTCTCCCATTCTTTGTTTCGCTTGATTACCAACAAGTTTCTCAACTGGCGAGATTTTCATTCATAAATGGCCTATGCGCTGCGCACAGCAGCAGCAATATTCCGCTATAACCGACTCACGCGTTCATCTGATTGCGCTATAGCAGTATTTTATTTACAAAGATGAAGAAGAAAAATAATCGGGGTTTTAGAATAATGTCTTTATAACAGACTTCTCGTTACTTCAGGACTCGTTATACGTGAACTCCACTGTAAAAGATCAAACAGTATGTCAGCAACAAGAGAGCTCACAAAATGTATTTCCCGAAAGTTAAGTCTCCTTGGATCATGAAAAAACATACCCCTTTATACAAGCTTAACTGTGGTAAAACTATCTTATCATTCAAAAACGACATGCTACTCAATTTAGTATTGTATTTTTAATTTAATACAATCCTTCAAAGAAGGATGAAACTGGTATTGTATTTCTAATTTGATACAATCCTTCAAAGGAGGATGAAACTGCTGACAAAAAAAGCTTTGAATCTGTCAATGTATACACACTAGACATTCTTCTTTTGCAGTCACAGAGATCAGAACACGAACAGAGTGCATGAAAAAGCCATTATTATGGTATACAATTCACCTGATGGAAACATTGTAAGCATGTTGTTATCCAGTATGAGCTCTGTGAGGCTGGAAAGAGAACACAATTCTTCTGGTGGCATCAGCAACTTATTATGGTTCAATAACAGAATCCTCGTATCTTTCGCCTTTTGTAGGCGATCAGTAACAATTGTCAAGCCTCTGTGGCTTAGGTTGATCACTTGACAATTCTCAGATATAGCATTATCTAGAAATTTGTCCAATTCCCATAGCTCCATTGGTTTCTCCATGACTAAGATACTAGCTTCTTTCCAACTGAAGACGTCAGGTAGTTACTGTTGTCATCTCATCTCTCCCCACAGTATCTTCACTGAAAGAAAAGAAAAAAAATAGCTTTTAAAGGGATTTAAGGGAGCTATAATAATAATAAAAAAAGAAGCAGTTTAGCATTACAGACTTAATAAGCTTTACAATGCAATTATAAGAGCTCAAATTCATTCATTCATAAAATTTTCATGTTTTTTAATGTAACCATCAAAAACAGTTCTCCTTTCGTCTCTCTCTCAATTCACCTGAAAAAAACTAAACAAAACAATCAAGATTATAGACAGGTTTATCAAAACCAGTTTTGAAAATCCCTATAACAAAAAGTTGCACTTTTTAAAAGTCTTAAATTCAGTTTTGGTCGGGTAAGGTAAGACTTGACTCATACATACATTGTTTTCTGCAAAAAAAAAGATTTAAAGAAAATCTCAAAGTTCTGTAATCCGAATTTTGGGAAGGGATGGGGAGATGGGGTGTCGGTGCTGCATGTACCCCTCTGAAACGAGAGAGTCTATATGCACGCAATTGCATGCACCAACACATTTTTTGCTATATATGCACGCTATTACCTGCAAGGTATCATACTCTGCTATGCACGCAATTCCGTGCCATAATGCTGTGGCGTGTCGGCTTCCGCTTCCATGGTGTTTGATGCATGAATGGTCTTCAAGCACGAGGACATGTCGCCCTACAAAGTTGGTGATGTTTTTGCCAACTTTCTTTTGTTTAAAGAAGCACTGTCATAATATTCCAAGGAAACATACACAACATTTGTGGTCCACTGATCAAAGACAGTCGAGAGCTGCAACAAATTATAAATGATGGCCAATTGTAAAGCTAGAGGAGCCAAGCTTATTGACGAAGCAGAGTACAGGGAACATAATTAGCATGATTAGTGTTGTCATATATGTGCGAGTAATGCTGGTATCATGTTTATGAATTTCCATGCACTCTGTTTTCTTTACATTCAATTCCTTTTTTATATTGAAACACGAGTACAAAAGGCAAATAATGTTAGTTACCAGCTTACTCCACTACTGAAACATCCTAACATCCCCATGACAACAAAACTCAAACTGATCAACACCATATTCATCCCAACACTCACCTATCAATGCCAAAAATGGACCACGAACAAGACATTAGAGCAAAGAATTACAACATGTGAAATGCGATGCCTTAGAAAAGCAATAAACAAGACCAGGCGAGACAAAATTACTCTGTAATCCGAGAAATGGTGGGCACAAATGATGTCATGCATCACATCCAACACCAAAGAATCAAATGGTTCGGACATCTCCTACGATTACCAACACACCATCCAGCACAACGAGCCTACATCCAAAAATTCAATGGCAACAAGGCTAGAGGGCGACCGAGAAAGACCTGGATAGATGGAGTCAGGGAAACATTAACCACCCATGGCATCCCCTTGGCCCAAGCTCTCCGGCTGGTGACAAAGAGACGTCTCTTTCTTCCCGTGACATCCAAAAGGGTATAAGCGGCGGATAAAAGTAAAAGTAAAGTAAGTTCCTTTTTCATAGATAGCATTGTTGAACATTTTCATCAGAATTTCTATGCCACTGTTGCCAAGCGCATCGATAAGTTCAATACAAATGTTATCTTGACCAAATGCCTTGCCTTTTTTAATTCTCTACAAGCTGCTGAGACTTCATCTTTTAGTATTTTCCGTCCACTTATGTCTCCTGTCTTTGAGTTCTCTGAAACCGTGACTCTCTCATCATCAGAGTAGAGATTTTCTATGTATTCAACCCACCTGACCGCAATGTGCTTTCATTTTTCATCATAATTCTCCTTTGAATCTTAGGGCCAATAATGTGACTGTTTTGTGAAGGATTCCCAGGGGATTGGGGCTAAGAATACAAAGGTGTTGAATGGGGGGAGAGAGAAAGACGTAGACTCAATGTTTATGAATATGCACTATAAAACGTCGGGAACAGATAGCCTAAGGGGAAGCTGTTGGAGATACGGTAGTCATAGTCATAGAGATGACGGCCCAGCCACGTGGCTTTCCAAGCGACCAAACCGACCATAAATTCATGGACGACATCAGAATCATAGATCTCTACATTCAGAGTAACATTTCTCTTGTGGTTCATTGAACAAGTACGTTATAAGTTCTTTGAGCGCAGCTGATTAGGCTTACTTGGCTAATCTTAAACCCTATAGAGACCTGTCTAGTGTTTTACGGCATTCACGCGTGTTGCGCATATCAGGCCTAGATCTAACTAAACATTACATGCAGTCACCCAAACACCAGTCAGAAACCTTCTCCCAAAAATACTTTACTTTACTTTTCCGACCCAGCGGCCATTTGGGTTCTAGCCCTTCCGTCTGTCGATATGGCAAAGAATTTGCAGGTTTTAATCAGCTGTGCTTCGTCGCTGTATAGAGTATTTCCGATGTTTGGGGAGGCAGGTAAGTAGGTGCTACGCAGGTCACAAAGTGCTGGGCAGTTAAAGAGGTGGTGTGGTACTGTTTCATCCTGGCAGTCGCACAGCGGGCAGTCGGGTGGGGTATCCTTGCAGATCCTATTAAGGTAGGAATTTAGTGGTATGTGTTGTGTTCGTAAGTGAAAGATCGTGACTTGTTCTTTTCTATTTAAGGAGTTTATTGCATCTTTAGAGTTGGGGGCTGTCATGTGTTCAAATACAGTTCTTCCAGTTTTGCCCATTGCCCATCCATTCAGCCACTGTTCCCTGGTGTTGCATTTGATGATGTTCTTGGCTGTCTGTTGTGATACTGGGTTGTGTGGTTGTATTTGTGATGCTCCCTTCTTGGCAAGGGTGTCTGCTCTGTCATTTCCTGGGATGTTGCTGTGGCCAGGTATCAACTGTAGTGTCAGGTCGACGGCATAGGCCTGTAGGAAGGTGTTGATTGTTTGAGCCACAGAGGCAGGCTGGGCTTTCGAAATTCAAGTTTTCCAAAGCTTGGAGTACTGACTTTCCGTCTGTGAAGATAATAGTGTTCTTGATTTTGTTTGGATGTATTATGAAAATGTTGGTCAGGTGGAGGATTGCTGCTTCAATGGCGATGGCCTCAGCCTCGTAATTTGTACAAGAAGTACCACATGCATCAAATAGCTCTTCACATGTTTTGTCAGGATGTTCAATTCTTACCCCAAAGCCTGCATTTATATTTCCCTTGAAAGCTGAACCTTCTCCCAAAAATGCATTTCCAGTGACCAATCAAAAAACATTTCAGTCCCTCCAACATTTCAGCGACCAGCCCAAGACCAGACCTATGTGTCTGTGGAAAGTTGGGTGTGAAAACGCTGTCCATCACTCTCTTTGCTCAGCGTGAGGGGCACTCTCACCAAATATCCGGTTTTCTAGGTCAAGCTTAACCTGTGGGCACATTTCACGGACCGGAGCATGCGTTTAGAGGGAATGACCGAGCGTTTGTACATCTAAATTATATAGTAAACAAACCCGTCAGATGACGAAAGCACGCATTTAGGCGGAAACTACTGTATTGGGTTTTGGTAATGTACGTAAATTCTTTTATCCTTTTCACAATCATTTGTCATTGTATCTAAATCTTGCAGTTTGTAACATTTGCTCAATAGATAGACTAATTTCAACCTATGGACTTGTTCCTTTATTACCGTTCTTACTAACATTGTTTACAGTTCTCTGTATTATTAGTCAAATTATCAAGATCTAGTAAATTCTAGTAGTAGTAAGTCGTAGTCCTCAAAGCCAACCATGGATTTGAACCTTGCTAGCACATACGAGTTAACCTCTTCTTTAAGTTTGCCACTCAGCATTATGCTTCCCCTTTTGGGTCACACGCCTAAACGGGCTAGGCGAGAGGAAAAAAATTGGTAAATCACGTGAGTCTTCACTCATGTACCTCATTCTTGAAAGAAGAAGTTCAGAAACCTCGACATGCATCCTGTAGGCTACAACTGTTCTTTTAATTTTCAGACTTTTTGAATTCCTCAGATTTTCAGCTGTCTCAGAAAAGTGAGGTTGTACAGCAACATAATGGAATGTAACTCTGGGTGGTTTACCTTCAAATCACTTACAATGGTAGCCTTTCTTGTATATTCAATTAATTCAGCCGAACCTGACACAGCGCGTAAAGACTCAAGTGTCTAATAAGATCTAGATCTAGATCTCTAGACTCTAGATCTAAATCTAGATCTAGATCTAGATCTAGATCTAGAATCTAGTTTCTAAATCAGGGCCTGTGTATCATCACTGAGTGTATGAGCTACAAAAAAGAAAAGAATCATGGAACTCAAGTTCCTTGCTTCAAGAGCAGTTTATTTTACGCTTATATAATAGTCGTTGTTATACTATGTGATCATGATCATTTCTTACTTAGTGATACCAGATAGCTGAGTCAGTCAGCCGGGTCAGCCTGCCAACGAGCTAACAAGTATAACGAGAAAAATTCTCGCCTCGCGGTTCGAGTACTTTTTACTGCCAGTAAACAAATTTTGTTGTTAGAAGCTATTTCTCCAATTCTTCTGCGAATAAGCAAAAAAATTTACTATTTCCAAATCGATTGTATATAAAAGCCAAAAGAAACCCAGTGTTTTCTCTTCTTTTTCGTTTTTCAATGTTAGTGGTTGAAGATTCAAACTTATTTTCGTCTGAAAAAAATCTTATTTTGCTTTCTATGAACGTCTTTTCCTTCTTTACAAGAAATTAAGACAGAATATGTGACACATTTGAAGTATCAATAGTAAACTACTTTCAGACTAAGAAACAATAAATCCATTTCCGGGTGTCCTACGCTCAATCCAACAGCAAATAGATCTAATGATACCAATTCTCTGACTTCAATCTCTATAAATTTCGTCGTAAGTTTTACATGACAATATCATGTTCTTATTGTTAGAGTTAGAGAACCACTAGATCTATGTTTAGTTGGGTGTTAAACTTGAGTAATGGGCAGCTAATAGATCTAGATATTAGAATCTAGAGTCTAGTATTTTAGCTGTTACAAATCAATGGGTTGTTGTAGATTTGGGACTAATCCAGGAGTATGATGTCATGATGATGGAAAGTAATGAATGAGATTTTTATAGATCTCTAGAGGGCCTATATGGTCTGGTACGGCATGAAAATGTAGTTTAGCCTAGAGTCTAGCCTATGACATTTTATGGCTGGGGATTTTTTTTTGTGGGTAAAAAAAAAAAGGGGGAGGACTTCCGTAACGAGCGACCACTATGACTAGATCTAGATCTATGTTAGTATGAGACAGAGCAGAATTGAGGGCTTGGCCGGCTTGGGGTAGGAGGGGTAGGGGTAAGGTTAGGGTTAAGGTTAGGGTTAGGTCTAGGACTCTTCTTTATTGTGTTTGATGGGGTGGTCGCTCGTTACGGAAGTCCTTCTAAAAAAAGAGTGAGTACAATCTAAATTTTTTGTCGCTCGTTACGGAAGTCCTCCCATTTAAAGGAACGAAGTGACTATTCGGACTCGAGTCCGAATATGAAAAAATGTTATTCGGACTCTGATTCTTGTCCAGCATGACATCACTTCCGACTTCCTGTGACTCGTGACTCTGGCTTCCTGTCCTGCCTCACTAGTGACTCGCCTCAGGCTGGGTAGAGACCGGGATCACTTCGACTTCGGGCAAAATGGCGTTAAATTGTGCCAGAGCCGAGTTTTTATCTTATGGTGAATTTGAGGCCGGCCTGAAAAGTTAGAGCGCTTCTAATAAATGTTTATTTGTCAAGAGGTCATCAGAAGCAATTAAAGATGGCTCGTTAGCGTGTGTTGGGGCCGGATGGGCGGCCTGCACACGTGTGGCTGTGTGTGCGTGTCGAGGAAGGGGAAGGGCGCTATCGGTCCGGGCGTTGAACGTCACATAGGCGTCAGTCCCCCTCCCCCCCCCCGGCAACGGATCATTATTACAATAATAAGCTAGTCTTGACATAGATCTACGTAATGAATTGTGCGCTGGTCTATGGAATCAAAAGTTGACGTGTATGCTCGGCTCTACACAGCAACACAACTTTTTCTTGGTAAACAATTGAGATGACACAGGCTTTGTATATTTGAACGAATCGGTCTTTTTTTTTTTACACAGCTCATAATATGCAGGTGCCAGGAGATCTGCTGATCTTCAATTTTACCTTTTTCTACAACAAAGAAAGTGGGAAACATGGGGGGTGGGCGTATCAATGAGGCGGCAGGCATCGGATCGGCAGACAAGGTGTGGGGGAAACTAAAGAGTGGCGGAAAATTGGAAGCACTGAACGTTAGATCTATAGAACGAAGACACTTCCTTTTTTCCGGACCCGTGTCCGAATAACATTTTTTCTTATTCGGGCTCGAGTCTGATTATGAAATTTTTTTATTCGGACTCGAGTGATCTTTTAGTTTCGTTCGTTTAAATTTAGGTCAAGGGGGCCAACCCCCCTACTCTCGACTAGTTTTGGGGCCCAAACCAGCGAATAGTGGGGGTGGGGACTGCTGAAGAAGGGCCATTCTTTGCTTTAAAATTTTGATTTTCCCCTCAACAATTATCTGGCATTTCAGGGTCTCTGGTGTTCAGCTTGGGACTTTAACAACCGAAACTACAAAATCGCCGATCTAGTCTAGTGGCCATCGTTTTTAACATGATAGTATTGTAGTTCTGCCTGAATTGTGGAAGCTTTCTCAGTTTCTTGATAGGCCTAAACCTCCTAGGATTTGACTCCTTTTTTATGACGTTGTCTCATTCTGATCAATATTGGGTAGATCTAGAATCTAGATTAGATCTACCAATTGTTTCTGACATTGTTTTCACAAAAGTAGACTAGATGTAGTCTTGTTCATCTCTCATAGTCATAATCATTTGAGTTTTGAGTTTGAGCAAGTAAGTCGAAAGACGCTTGGGATAACAATAACAAGACGGTGCAACTCGGTCAGTATTTCCTGTCCACAGTGTCGTCATACAATAGATTCTAGATCTACCTAAAAATATTATCTTTTAGTTAGGCCTAGAGAACGTAAGCTGTCTACGTTCCCTAGGCCTAAGTCTAATGTTCAGTGCTTCCAAGCGCTGCATTGGATTCCGGTCCCAGACGGTTTTTTTTTTCTCCTGAGCCTAAAATTTTAAAAAATAATTTAAAAACTCACAGACCAAGAAAAGCCTCTCTATTTCACCAGGCCTAAATTGGTAAAAGGAAAAGTATAGGCTATACTAAGGTCTACTTTACAAGAGCTCCTCTTGGGGACAAAACCAGACTGTGCATGCTTCACCACTACATAAAAAAAACTACAACAACAAGTTATAATTATTGGAAAAATTTGTTGGTCAGTCGAGAAGAGGACAAAAATAAACACACCAAAAAAAAACTTCCAGGACCGGGATCAAACCCACGCTCATGAAATAATGGTTTGGCTTCAAACGCAGATGCGCTGTCACTTCGACCATCAGAACTTCCAACAAAGAAAGGTAGATTTAAGCTTCATATGCCTACGCCAACACACAGTGTTTTATTTAGCACTGGCGCTAATCACAATGCAGCGTTTTATTTAGCACTGCCGCTATTTGCAACGCGGCTTTGCAAATAGGAACTTCCTTGTGTGTGCCATGTGAGTGTGCATGTATGTTTGTGTGTGTGTGTGTGAGAGTGTGTGTATTGTGTGAATGGGGGGGGGGGGGGTTTTTTGCGAATGGAGCGGCCGGTGTGTGTGAACGGTTGTAGGGGGGGGGGGGGTATTTTTTTTTTGTTGTGATTTAGTTTTTGCTTTATAGATGATGCAACATAGGCTATTGCCAAAGTCAAGCAGTCCTTCCTGTTTTCTCGCATTGCCTTTTGAAGGCATTTTCAAATAAAGTACTACAATGTATAGTCTGGGAACGTTGCCCCAAATACAATTGAAGCGTATCTGAATATTCAGACAACTAGGCTAAAAATTTCTAGCTCTAGAAATTGAATTCGATGCAAAAAATGCTTCTTCCCAGTCCTCGCAGAATGGCAGATGGAAAGATGACGCCAAACTCTCTCAAATAACCAACAAAACTCGAGAACGGAAACCGTTCGGAGAAATAGAGTTCAAGTTTTTTATCCCAAGCGTTCGGAGAAATAGTCACTTCGTTATTTAAATCTAGAATCTAGATCTAGGGTGTGTATAAATTAATTTTGTGTCAAAATAAGAATTTTAAAAGACGAGGTTAGACTGTCGGCATTCTCCGGTTTTGGCCCCAAGAGTACTGGATACTGATACTGACTTTTACTTTTAAATACTTGTCTATGTTTTATCTGAAAGAGAGCAAGAGATCATGTGCTGCTATTTTTCAGTACAAAATGAGCAGTATTTAATATTTCACGTGTTTTGAACAATGGGGGTTTATGGAGGGGCTTCCCCCCTTGACCTTATGGGAGGTTTCAGGGGGGGCATGCCCCCTCCCCCCTGGAATTTAACCATAATATGATGTTTTGCAATTCAGTTAGGTTTAATATATATATTTCTTGCTCACTGAGCGTCAAAAATACATCACTTAATAGGCTATCGGCATACGCGTCGAAAAGTAGGCTAATTGTTTAGAACCAAAAGTAATCTTTGGTTAAAAACCAAAACTCACACTCCATAGTTATTGTTGGGGCCAAAACCGGATCATCCCAGACTTTCTACCACCAAAATTATCTTGAAAGATATGTTTTATTTTTATTAATGTGTCACGAGGCGGTGGGATCGGGCCCTCGTCAATTTTTGGGCTATGGAGATATCATCTTAAAAATTTATTCATTCGCCTTGCTTTCTATGAAAAAAATATCCATTTAACTTTAGTTAAATAGAAGTCGAGGTATTTGCATTTGAAGGAGGTGGAGTCGCCTGGTACCAGAAGTAAAATATCAAAGAAAATGGCTGACAAAGTTTGGTGACTTCCATAGCTTTAGAGTCCTTGGAAACTACAAATTTCCTTTTTTTTTGTTCCTTTAATCAACGTTTTCCATAAAATCCACCCGAAGTGTTTTTGAATGGACATACAAGGCAAGGTGTTGAGCCGAAAAACAAAAATTCGGAAAAAATGTCCAAACTGGCCGAAAAATGCAAATTTCTTGGATTTCATTATTTTGACGAGTGTCTGGTCTCAACCACGATGCCTGACATATATATATAGGCTAGAATCTATTAGATTAATATGTGTCATACATGGTGGAATTAGGCGCTTGTCAATTTTTGGATTGAGTTATTGGTATCATCTGAAAACTTTTTCATTTGTTTTGCTATGTAATGAAAAAAACATACTTTTACTTCGAATGGAAGTTGAGATTTACGATTAAAGTCGTGGGGGTCGCCTGGTCTTAGAGGTAAAATTAACAAGAAAATGGCCGCCAAAGTTTAGTTATTTCCCTAGCTTGAATGTTCGTAGAAACAGAAAATTTACATTTTTAAAATACCTTTACTTTAATTGATGTTTTTCAGTGCAGTAGAATCCACACAGAAATGTTTTCTTTTAAATGATGAAAATTGCCAAACCTGTGAAAAAATGCCAGTTTCTTCAGTACTTTCATTATTTTGACGAGCGCCTGATTTCACCACACTGCCTCACATATGATGCACTTCAACTTAAAATCAATAAAAGCAAGATGGCGAAGGCAAAATAGGAATGTGATTTTCTCTATCAACTAGTAGAGGTAGACCTTCTGATCTACTCATGTTCCGGCAATGTGCATGGCGAGCCGTGGATGCTATATTTGGCATTCTCCGGGTTTGGTCCCAAGAGTACTGTCGATACTCACTTATAAATACTCTGTATTGATGTTTTATTTGAAAGAGAGCAAGAGATGCGCCGGCTGCTATTTGTCTGTTCAAAATGAGCTGTTAATATAATTTCACTTCTTGTTTTTAACAGGGGAGTTTCAGGGGGCTTTCCTCCCAATCTATTAAAAATAAGGGGGGTTATTTAACTATACAACTTGATGTTTTGCCCTTGGTGCGTCAAACATCATATCAGCTCTCGCAACAAAAAGTAATCGTTAGGAACAAAGTAATCGGTTCTGTCAAAACCCATACTCCATAGCTATTGTTGGGGCCAAAAGTGGATTATATAAGATTATATTCACCCTTTTGTTTCACACAATTTTATCACAATAAGTTGCAACGTTTCTATTAGCTGCATGGGAAAACAAAATACACTCCTAGAAAGAGTGTCTTTTTGTTGTTTCTTTCAAATCAATAACTGATATTATGAGATATTATTTTGTGCTTGCTTTTATTTTGAGTGTAGTTAAACTTGTATATTTTGCAAAATCTTATGTTTTCATATTGTGCTAAAATTGTTCCATTCTCTTTAGCAGTGATATGAGCTTTCCAATGATGTATCGTACTTATTTATAAATTTAAGTATAAATTTGTTTAAAATTATCAAAAACTAAATTCAGGAATGTTCGTAGGCCGAAAATACTCTTCTGAATGAAGAGAATCTGCGTTTTTCTACTGAAACAGTGAAAACTAGATCAATCAAATACACCAAACACAGACCGAGTTTTATTGAAAAATGTGAAATGCACATGATCCAAGCCCTTTATTTTAGACCTGTAACTCAAAAGCTCAAAAGGCTTCAATATATATTATTATATCGCTAGGTGGGGGAACATATTGGGTGCATTTTTATCTTTTGTATTTCTAAGAATGTCAGTACTTTTCTAGAGCATTACAGGTTAGCTCTCTACTTTGTGTAAGGGTGCTAAAAAAACTGGCACTTTTTCCCGTTTTGCATTTTCTAAAGCAGCACAGTTGTTATGCTTGGAATTTTTTTTTTAATCTACAGACTGGATTAATTCCAAGCTGCATTTTTTTATTATGTACTTTTTGTTTTTTGAGTACCTCTACAACTAGATAAGGTTGGACTGTGACAGGTTTTTGCAATATTTGGGGATTTTACGACCTTGTCAAAGATTCGTGATTCTGGTTGCTGGTTTTGTCTTTCTCTTTACTAAGTTGCCTCTGAATTATACAAGAGAATTAACTCAATTCCCCCTAAAGGCCTTGTTCTGAAAAGGGGAATAACTCTGTACAAAATCAAACAATAAAGAAAATTAAATTATCTTACATTACAAAAAAAGCAGCCATGCATCATAACTTCCGTTAAATCATAAACTGATTAAAAATAACATTTTCAATTGAAATAGCAGTCAGTGCCTGTTGCCCATCCCTAATTTCTGGTCAGTCAAGAATGTTTCACTATAATTCTAAAATTAGTTCTATAATCTAATTATGTTTTTCTTTGTCATTACTGTTTGACTCAACACGGATAGACTATCTAAATTTAAATCCTCTTCAATATCTTGATTTCTCCGCTTCTGACCAGACATTTTCACTAGCCCCCAGTATTCAATCTTTCTTTTATATGTTATGATAACCATGGTAGATTACCATTTCGGAAGAGATCAAATTTATATCTCTAGATTCAATCTCGACTCGTCAAAATCAAATATAATCAATTGTAGTAACTTTCTTACTGATCACAATCTTAAAATATCTACAGAAACAGAGATCTTGCCAAACCAATAGTCATGCTTATATTATGATATTTCAACAATATTTCCTTAGCTTTAGTTATGGGAAAACTCTAACCGTGACTGTTCGCAAGCAGAGAATTATCGAGCGACACGAGGGTTTCTGCAGCAGTCAGCATTGGTCTTTCGTGGTGGGAATTAGGAATGGGTTCTTAGCTATTGATAAAAATTGTAACCCCTGGAACAAAACAAAAAAATAATGAAGGAAAAAAGAGAACAAAAACATTTTAAAAATATAGATCTAGTGATCCCAATCAGATTGATGATTTCGTAGTAAGGGTGGTTCTGTCCGTTACTACCACGCCCACCCCTGCTTCTTTTTAAAAATATTTTTGTTGTTGTTGATTTAGTTGCATTTTATTTAGAAGAAAAACATTTTACAAATCCCGTCAAATTGATGGTCAAATTATTTTTGGATAATGAGAAGATATTGGGTTGGCAACACATGTGTATTTGTAAAATAAATTGATTGGGATGTGTATGTGGGGGGGGGGGAAGAGTGTTAGGTATAACAGTCATTTTCAAAATGTTTTTAATTGACTGTGCAGAGCTGGAACATTTCAGTGACAGATCTGAAGCCATGTTGCCTTTTCTTATGCTGTTGAGATCTAGTTGTCTTCTTCCCTTACCTCTGTTTCCTCCACTGAAATTTAATATCCATCCTATCTAAATGACCTTGTTGATCCATACACTTCCAAATGATAGTTTTTGAATATCATGCTAAAATGATCCTGCACCCTAGATTTGTTGTGTTCTATGGGTGACGTTAAACTTAGTATTTTTTTTATCAATTAAAAAACTTGTTAAAAAAAGACAAGCTGACAACTCGCATGGTATAGTGATATGTTAAAATCTCCCACATCAATTTGTAAAAGTGTCGAGATAGAGCCATTGTTCAAATAAAGATAGGGGTATCTTAATGACTTAACGGAAGGACATTGACAGTATACAAATAGTTCCTAAATGGACCCCGTTCATGACAGATTTCTTAGGAATTTGCCATATACATCTTCACATCTACAATCTAAATTCTTTGCTTTTAATTAATAATGATATGTGAAAGAGAAATGTGGGCTTTTATGATCATGGTTGGCAGGTTGTTTTTTTTTAATAGGTAATTTAGATTGTTGAAAATTACCATTTCGGATAGACATGAAGCGAAAAGATCACAATCATTATTGATGGTGCTTTTCTATTTTTCTCTTTACTCTATCTTCTCTGTCTTTTCATATGCTATAATATATATATGATTTATATATGTGCATATGTTAAAATAGAGAATTATATGCGTTTTGTTTATTATTATTCCATACTTTAGTTGACTATATGTACTGCTTTCAGGTACTAAGATGGTCTAATACAGCTAACAGGATGGCAGATGATAATGAGACAGCACCATCATCGCCACCGCTTCCAAAGCGGGGGGCATACAGTATTGACTTTGATGCTTTAGATGAAATGTCAGACCCATTTGCTCCCAAAAAAGCACTGGGATCCTCACCTCCAATTAAAGCGGCTGCTCCGATATCCTATGATAATCTTGACGATATTGACGATCCTTTCAAGCCGAGAAGTGCACTTTCCAACTCTCCCGGAGGATCTAAAGCTGACCCTCCTCCTCCAGCAAACGAGTCTGATAACATGGAAGATCCCTTTAAGTCTAAGTCAAAAGTAGCTAGTTCACCACCAGGGTCGCCGAAAGTCATTGCTCAGAACAACAATGTGAAGGAAGTTGGTTTCAGTGAGGACTCTCAAGGAGATGTATCACCCAAAGTGCCTGTTGATGCAGACTCAGTGCCCAAAGCTGACAGCTTACCTGTAGAAGAGCAAAAGAAGCAAGAGGTTACTCCAAAGTAAGTATAATTATAGACAGTGCTTTTGTTGTCCTTTACTGTCAGTTAAGATTGATGAAGTTGTAAATTAATTTGTTATTTATAAACAAAGATGTGGTTTTATGTTGTCCTTTTACATTACAGTACAAGGGATCATGAAATTACGAGTAATATGAATCTTGCCAGAGAGAAACCAGTGTGTAATTTGATGTAGTTGGGGCATTGAATATTATGAACTTACACTTCAGCATTGGAGCTGCTGAATCACACTGCGAAAACAAAGAGAAGCAGTTCAACTTTTGCTTGTGCTTCATTTATGTGCTGTGCAGACAGAGCATTGAGAAAGTTGGGTTTTTTTTACCCTGGAGGCAATCTGACTGCTGCCTTGAGGAGTCAGATGCAATAGATCGCGCTAGGCAAACATTTGATTTTAAACCATGACTCAAATTAGGAGCAGAATCTGAAATCTCGCCAGACCAGATCAGTAGCCACCATTGTGAACAGCATGCAAAATCCTATGGAAGTAGCTAATTCATGTCTTATTTTGTCTGCTGTGATGATGAAGAGCTGAGATCTGTTTATAGGGACCCCTGTCTGCAACATTTTCATCAACACGTTATTTATTGTTATTTTTGTTTCCTTCTTCATTTTCTAACATGTACAACTCGTGTTTCCAGTGTCTGCATCAAGCAATGTTTATCAGTTAATACACATGGCTTTGTTTTCGTATCCTGTTATATGTTTATTATTTTTCTCCATCTTTAATAAGAGCATTTCTTTTGTGAAGCAAAAGGATAGTGAGAATTGTAATTCTTAAGTATAGGTACGAAAAATAAATCATTTTGTTCTGTTCTCTCACATTTTGCTGAGACCATAGTTTATCATTTCCTTTTTTTCAGAAAGAAGAAAATTATGAAAAAGCCGAAAGTCCAGTCTAAATTCAAACCTCCAAAGAATATAAAGAAACCACAGGTGAGTTTTTTGGGTTTGAAAGAATTCATTTTAAAATGTAGAGCTCCAATTTTAAAATGAAATAATTAGGTAGTAATTCTACCTTGTCTTCAGTTACTGCTTGTCTTTTTACACCGCAGTTGAATCTTTAGATGTTGTGTTTGAAAGAAAGGGGCAACTGGCATTGGGGTTTGAATTGATACGTCATCATGAAACAACTGTGTATGCATTTGTTTTTGAAAAGCCATCTATTGCAGTCCATTTGAAGTTGAGAAAGGTTGCTTTCTCAAGGTTTAGTGCAATTTTGATGTCATGTAGGTTGTCATATGTCATTTTCACACCATGGTTTGTCATTTCATTATATCCTCAGGACTCTGAAGATATTCAGATCTTCATGCCAGACCCTGTGAATGATGAAACTAAACCACAGCCTGAGACAGAGCCTCCAGCACAGACTGAAGTAAAGTCTGAGGACAAACCTGCTGAAGTGATACAGCCCCCTGCAATAGAACCTGAGCCGGTGCCTGATCCTGTCAATAATTTACCAGATGTTGTTACCGCTAATGAAAGTGCAAAAGAGAAAAAAGTTTCAAAAGGGAGTGAGTCTGCAGAAGATGTGCCCCAGGATGCTGCCCCGGATGCCCTTGCGTCCAGTATGGAAAGTGACCAGCCTTTCCTGGATCGAGAGGGATCAGAGGAGCCAGAACATGCCAATGAGGGCTTTGCAACAGCTGCTGAAGGTAGTTACTGATAGTGGTCATTCAACAGAATTGATTACAAAGTAATAAAAAAAATAGAAGTCACAGGGGAACCAATAAATAAATTTATGTGCCTTCTAAGTTATAAGGCTCAAGAAATTTGAATATAATAAAGGTTCTTTTTTTGCAATTGGAAAATGTGGTTATGTACGTGTCAGCTATTTAGGCTATAAGAAAGCCAAAGATGTTTATCCCATATCTCTTACTTCTTTATGATAGTTGTTGGATTTCAGAAAGGTACAAAAGAGGCATTTTGTCACCTAGGTGTATGCTATTTTCCTGTGCCTTTGGGCAAAGTTAATGTATGTAAGGGGAGATGTGCTCAAAGCAGTGAGACCATGAAGGGAAACACAGTTGACTGTTGTTTTTGTGGGAAGCACTGGTGTATTTTACATTTTCCTGGCCATTTAGTAAAGTATTATTAACATATGGGTATCAATTTGAATATATATATCAGATATGTGTTAAAAGATAGGTGCAAAATTTCTTTTTATTTATCTAATAAGTATTTCTTTCATTTTGTTATTTCAGCAATAGATGGTGCTATTGATACAGATTTAATGGACAGATCTGAAGACCCAGAGGTATGAGCACAATGCATGTCTGAGTGTAATTTATGGAAGTATACGTTTGCACTGCTGACACACACATTTGTATTGGTATAGAACATGTGTTTATGAATTTCAATGTTTTAAAAATATTTTATTGACATGAAGAACAAGAGCATTTAAATTTAATGACATGGAACATGGGTATGTCATGGTTACCATTAGGAGACCTAATTTTGATCATCTTGCTGCTTAGTTCCTACTTTCCCTTAAACAGCAACCGAAAAGAATGATTTTTTAGCATGAAATTTGCCGTGGCTCTTTTCCAAAAAAAGAGCGTTGTTTTCTTTACTCCTGGTGTCCTGTTCTTTTTCTTTCTCTTTTGTCCACCGAGTGTCTAGTCACGCAAAGAAAAAATAAAACAAAAATACCACACAGAACCATTTTTGGTACGGCTGTTGCCTTTCAAGTGACCTTTGTGCATCTAGTATGGCGGCTAGGCTCGAACAAAAGCAAAAACAAGAAAGGCAGCTGGTGAATATAGAATACCTGGCTGTAGGCTATTGATATTAATGCTTGAAACCTGTTACATGACCCTTGTAATGAAGCTATTTGGCGTGCAATTCATAAGATGGTTTATGCACAGTGTTGCTGAACAGGAGTTCAGACAAGGAGTGATGTTCCTAAATATATA